ATAGATAGATAGATAGATAGATAGATAGATAGATAGATAGATAGATATTTAAAGGCAGGACTTTGATCATGCTGGCTAAGGAATTCTTGGAGTTGAAGTCCACAAGTCTTAAAGTTGTCAAGTTTGCACATCCCTGCTATAAAGCAATGGTGGGCATACTTAGTGCTGTAATCAGAGTGTAACAGTTGAAGGTCTGAGTAATCCATGGAGAAATGACACACCATGCAGTAGTGTCATGCAGTTGGTTTCACAGGATGGGGGAATTTGCCCTTGTTTTTTTCTTTAGCATGTTCCTGTTTTAACTTTTTTTGCTACATCATGCATTTTCTAATTCAGGAAAAATGGGCTGCAAATGTTTAGCAGTGTGGCTAGAAGAGCTGGTTGTGGGAGCTGAAATTTCCCATGCTTATAGTAACGATTGCTTCACTTGTATCAACAGGAATCAATACATCTCTGATTAATTATATAAATTATACCCAAGGTGATTTTTCTTGTACTAAGGTTTTTTCCCCTCTTAAATATTAAGTTGATGAATGTTATACAGGAGAGTGTGCCTACACTGTACATATCAAACAGCATATAACATAATGAAGTTTACAGCTAATAGTTGTAACACTGTTGTTTTGACAATGTTTATAAATTTTAGGGATGTAAAAAAGAGCTTTAAATGCCTGTCTTGCTTTTGGAAGTTGTGTTGTAGGCCAGTGATCCCCAACCTTTTCTACGCCGCGGCCTGGTACCGGCATCAGCTGGGCGCCGCGGCCCAGTACCGGCATCAACTGGGCGCCACCATCTTTTTTTGATGAAAACGTGCTTCCGGTGAGCTTTCTACCCGGAAAAGCTCACCGGAAGCGCTGGCGCCGCCATCTTTTTTTGATGAAAACGTGCTTCCGGTGAGCTTTCTACCCGGAAAAGCTCACCGGAAGCACTGGCGCCGCCATCTTTTTTTGATGAAAACGTGCTTCCGGTGAGCTTTCTACCCGGAAAAGCTCACCGGAAGCACTTTTTCATCAAAAAAAGATGGCGGCGCCCAGCAAGCCAGCGGCCCGGTAGGACTTGTTCCACGGACCGGGACCGGTCCGCGGACCGGTGGTTGGGGACCCCTGTTGTAGGCAACTGGTAACACATTTCTTTTTTTAATGGTCCTGGAATTTAGAAATTGTTTTGTGCACTCAAAAATGATTAGCTCAGTGTTTAAATTTCCTATAATCCCCATAACATTTTGAAAGGTAGATTCATGTTCTTGCTGTTGCTACTATCCCCATGCCTATTGTGACCCTAAGACAGATAATGCTTTGTTGATTTCCATGTATTTGATGCTTCATGTGCCCTTGTGCCACTGAAATAATATATCTATTTGTTCCAGTGGAATATTTGGTCCTGGTCTTTGATCCCTGCAGGAAGTCAAATGAGATTCCTTGCTTCTGATGAACTTTAGGAATGTTCTTTTCATTGCTGTTGTTTGGAAGTCAATTCTTGGCTTTCGAACTCATCACGAGAAAATGCTTGTCCATGTCTCTGAATGAAGGACTTTCAAGCACCCTTTAATTTATGCTGTTCATTTGTAAATTAGATGGATCGGTGGGACCATTTCTTGATACAATTGCCTGAATCAGAATAGAAGAGTGTGTAGAATCACGATGATCAGCTGTTATATTTTAACATTTTAAAAAAAACGGGAGTGAAAAACATACTGTTTTTTAATGTTTGATTTTGTTATTTCGTGATGCATAATTGCTGACAGGAGAGCCAGTTTGATGTGGTGGTTAAGGCATCAGACTAGAAACGTGGAAGACCGTTTTAGTCCTGTTTTAGGCTTAGAAGTCAGCTGGGTGACACTTTTTCAACCCTAACAGGACCGCAGGCAGTTGTTGTAGCCACACTCACTCTTAAGTTGAATAAATAAATAAATCATAGAAGACCTTTTTAAAAGACTTGAATAGCAACTTCATTAAGCTATGGAACCAGGACTCAGGCCATTCTAAAATACATGTTTTCTCTGAGGTGCATTAGCAGCCCCACTAGTCAGTCGTGACTCTGCTGAAAAGCAATGTTTAGGTAAGGATGCCTGGTTGCTAAGCAACGGGCAGCAAAGGCTTAAACACTTAAAGCTGTAGTGCAAAGTTTTCACTTCAGATGATGACATCTTTGCAGATTACAAATGGGAAGCTGTTAGTACTGGATGGTTTTCTCCTTAAATTGCTTTGTGTGTATCTGTGTCTGTATGTGTGTGTGTGTTGTATTTACAATAGTATTGCTGTACTATAATGAAGTTTAAAATTTGTGGGATCCTTGATGCTCTCTGAGCGTGGTGGTATTGTTGCAGATGTTTCATACCAAACCAGGTAATATCAATTTAAAATTTTACTACACCATATGACAAATTAGCATTATTTATAGATTTTTCTGCTGAGATAGCGTAGGAATCCAATCATAATCTCCCTTTGATTCTGACCAATCAAAGAGAAAAAGGACGTCATTTGTTTTAATGGTTTTGTTTGTGGGTAATATATTTTTTCATGACTTTCTTTCTGTTCAGAACAGGAAAGATCTTTTCAGAACTTTTAGTCAGGAGAAAGTTAATGTTTTCAGCAATCATAATGTTAATCCAATTGATAATCTCTTCCTCATGTGATAGTAACCTTTAATTTTTGATATTTGGATGTCAGCACTATTGATTGTGTCACCAAAATATTATAATGTTGAACAAAAGTGAGACATTAGCATATATAGGATAACTATTGACAACACAAATGCAAAACGCACACATAACAACCTTCAAGGGGGAAAAAGTCTCTAATATGGGGAACTCCCCAGCTACTCCAATGACTAAGGAATCCTGTCCCAAAGAGGACTAGATTGTGATTTCTCTCAAAATGTAAACCACCTTAGAATGATTAATGGCAATAAAAATCAAATAGGATTACTTCCTCACCAATGGTTTTCACATGAAAGTACCCCTAGATCCTGGTGGTTTTTAAAGGAAAAATGACACAGCTGAATTTTCTTAATAGCTTTCAGAGTTGACAACTATTTTTTTAAAAAAGGAGATAGAAACTCCTGTGAGTCATAGAAGTGGGTGTGTTTCTGTGGAGAGCAGCTTTCATAACTCATCCAGTCCCTTAGCAGAGTCCAAAGAGTAAAAAACTGCTATACACACTATTTTTTTTGCCGAGAACGTACCATCTGTATTAGCGGTGTGGATGACAGGTAAGCCGCGTGCTTCCTCTAAAGAGAGTTGTGAGAATCTAGCCAGAGTGCCTTAGGAGATACATTTTTAAATTTGCTTTGTTTGCTTTGAGATTTTTGGGGGGTATTTGTGACAATTCTTTTAGGTGCCTCTTCTTTATACTGTAAAGATAGGTGCCCATGATCTCATGAGATTTTGGGTCCATCAGTGATAGAATTTGACTAGAGTTCTGAACAAAGCAGGAAAAAAGAATTTTGGAAAAAAAGTGTATATTTTAATGTTCTGAGATTGATTTTGAAGAAAGAAATATTTCTGGAAAAAAATATATATATTTGTTTCTGCTATGCCTTTTAGAAGAGTTTAAGTTGTAGTTGTGAAAGTAGTTTGCAAAAAAGGAAAGGTGGGAGGATAAAATATTTAACCCTTCATCTTTCAAAGATGTGCTTCTCTGATGGTGCCAGTTGCTTTTATTCAAATAAGTACGTTGGGTCAGAAAACAAATACTATCAGAAAAGATATTCATGGGAAAAGAACAGGTAGAAGAATTAAGTGCCTCTTGTTAAGGTTGCTTTGCATTAAAGAAACAAGTTTTCTTCATTTTGTTAAGTTTTAAAGAGTTGCTTGTTCTGCGTTTTAGGTTGTGCAAATAGTTCATTAGTAAGAATTGACTACAATTGCTTATTGTAAAAAGTGGCTGGGCAGATGATATGATAATACCTATTCAGTAGATTCAAGGTTCTTATCTCTGTGATATATTTCACACTAACATTAGTTTACATAGTAATCTACACAGGTTCTCTTTTATTGCTTTTAATCTGTTTTGTTTTGTTATTTTGTGCTTTCTATATTTCCTAGAATTAGAATTGTGACTGCAAGTCTTTAGACAGAATTTTTTTATAGCCATAAATAACACAGATGCATACAATGCTGATTGATCTGCTGGTTTTGCATTTTTCAATTACTTCCTTTTTTAGGATTCCTTTTATTTATATAGTTATTTATTTATTTATTTAATTTATATTGCCACCTATTCGCACATGGTGACTCAAGGTGGCTTACAGAATATAAAACCTCATTTAAAACAATAAAACTAATAAAAAGAATCAAATAAATTAATATAATATAATAAAACCACCCCTCACCTACCGCCCCGGCGACAGCAGATCACATGAGCCATTTAATGGGCTCCATCCCTCTCTGGGTTCCCCAGGCCCGCTGGCAGAACCAGGTCTTCTTCAGTGCCTTCCGGAAGAGTGCTAGAGTGGGGGCCATTCTAATCTCGGGGGGGATGATGTTCCAGAGAGAGGGAGCCACCACGGAGAAGGCCCTTCTTCTGGGTCCCACCAGGTGTATCTCCCTTAGGGATGGGAGCCGCAATATTCCCTAATTAAGGAGAGAAGCAACCTACAACTAAGGAGAAGTTTCCTAACAGTGAGAGCAATTAACACCTTGCCTTCAGAAGCTTGGGTGCTCTATCACTGGAGGTTTTGAAGAAGAGATTGGACAACCATTTGTCTGAAATGGTATAAGGCTTCCTGCCTGAGCAACGGACTGGACTAGAAGACATTCTGAGTTGTGAAAACTATTGTACACTCCAATCTGTGTGTACATGCAGTAATATTATAGTTTGCATCTGAAAATGTCATAATCTATTTAACAATGTTAGTGCAATAAGTCCTTTATCTCCCTGGAATTCCTCATCATCGTGTTGTAAATGTTTCGGAGTAACATCGTAATTTCTCTTCATGTCTCCAATTCTTCCTAATGGGCCATCTTGCTTTGTTTTAAAAAGTCCAAGTAGTATTCAATGTTCTGTCAGCAATCTGTCACCGCTCCAGAATCTTATTCTTTTTGACTTCCCAAATCCAGCAGATTACTTTATCTTAGTATTGTCTATCAGGGAATGCAATAGCTATAGTTCTTTATATCACACAGTTAGTCAATAAATTCCATTTATACAATCCCAATAATTCTTAGATCCATCTTTTAATTTGCTAGTTACAATATACAAAAGTCATTCCGTTAATTATCCTCCAGGTTTTAAGGGTTGATTCTCTGGTCACCACAGATAAATATAGAGTAGTAAATAATATAGCAAATCTCCAGGTGTTACTCTTTCTTATCAGGGTTCCCAGGCTGCTATCATGCTTGGGGTATAACATAGACTATATCCATTCACCAGTAGATGGTGCCTTCAGGTTGAAAATCAGTGTTAAAAATCTACTTTAAAAGTATTATTTCAAATTATTTCAAACACGATATCCAAAAGCCAGTCAAATGTCCAGCATTTTAAACTGCCTATTCTAGGACTTGCCAGTAAGGTTTAAACATCCAGTCTTTCTATATTTTAAGCTTTTAGTGATTTCCTGTCATGGTGCACTGTTTCTTTGCCTCTTGTCAACTTATAAAACATTCTTATCCCTGTTTTAGTAGTTGCCATAAAAAAAGGGGGGGGGGGAGGAAGGCATAGGAATGTTTTATGAGTTGACACCTGTCTTTAGTCATGGCTAGAAAACACTCCAGAGAGCCTCTTCTTCAGGATTGATTTTCTTTTAGGGTAAATACTAGGTAAAATTCAAGTCACTTCACCCAGCTCCAGTCACTGTTCATTCACTCCGCTCCTACACAATCTTAATTTCTTCAGCTGCCCCTGCTTTGCGGCAGCCATTTTGGTCGCTTCATCCTTGGCAAAGAGGGAAAAACCCTGGGTCCAGCTGGAGAGCCACCACTTTCAGCAACCAGCAGGGTGCCCCTCCTTATCTGTCACCCCTACAGGGTGACTTTAGCCCCTGGGGGGGCCCTCCGACAAAGAGAATTGGAACGCTAACCAGATCTAACCCCTCCCACAAAGACCTCCTATATCCGTGATGGTAAACCTATAGCATGTGTGCCACAGGTGGCACGCAGAGCCATTTGTGCCAGCACGTGAGCTGCAGGCAAACTTACCTCACTGTGCATGTGTGCACCTCACAGCGTGGGGATGCGCAGCCCTGCTCTCCTGCATCGATCACGCTGCGACATCAAACCGGAAGTCTAGAACTCCAGAGTGCATTTTTCTTAAACAGATTCTATCCTGTACTTCGAAGACTTGTTTTCCTTTTTTCAAATAGCATTTGAATTTATTTTATGTTAAGTCTGTTTTTCGTAAGTTAGAAATAGAGGAACCTCTGTAAAAGAAAACACAAAAATATACCAATGAATTGGGACACTTAGCATTAAAACATCCTCAAGTGGATACTTGCCCAATATTTAACAGAAAAGAATCAAGGGTGATTAGTTTTTGTAGGCCATGTTGGGAAACTACTCTTAATGCTGCTGCTCTGTAATTTCAAACCCAAATAGTCATGTTTTAGTTTCATTAACCTCATTAGAAATAGTGCCCAGTTGCTAAATTATGTCCCATTAACTCGAATGAAATTCTAGCATGCCTGATTTTCTTTGTGATAGTATTTATAAAATCATAGGACTGAAAAGGACCTTGGAGGTCTTCTAGTCCAGTCCCTTGGCCAAGATAGGAATCCTTATACCATCGCAGACAAATGGAAGTTCAATCTTTTCTTGAAAACTTCCAGTAATGGAGTACCCCTGTCTCTGAGAGGCAAGCTTTTCCATTGATTAATTGCTCTCACTGTCAGCAAATTCCTCCTTAGTTTCAAGATGGATCTCCCTCTGATCAAACTTCATCCATTGCTTCTTGTCCTGCCCTCGGGTACTTTAGAGGACAAATTTAGAGGACCCACTCCTTCAGGTATTGGAAGACTACTGTCCTGTCATCCCTAAGCCATCTCTTTGTTAGGCTAAACATAGTTCCCTTAGTTATTCATCTTTATGGTTTATCCCTTATGTTCTTCTCTGCACTCTTTCTAGGGCCTCAGCATGTCTTTTTTTGTATTGTGGTGACCAGAACTGGTCAAGGTATTCCATGTGTGGCCTCATCAGTGCAGTATACAGCAGTACTGTACTATCATTTATTGTGATCTTGATGCTATATCCCTTTGTTGATGTAGCCTTAGACTGCATTGACCTTTTTGGCAGCTGTAACACATTGCTGTCTCATACTTAAGTGATGGTCTACTAGGACATCTGGATCCCTCTCATATGTACTACTGTTGGGTCAGATACTGTCTATTCTGTACCTGTGCACTTGGTTTTTCCTGCCTAAATGCAGAACCTTACTTTTCTCACCATTGAACTGCATTATAATGGATAGTCTGTCAATATCCTTCTGAATCTTGAGTCAATTTTCCAAAGTGCTAGCAGTTGCCCCAGCTTGGTGTTATTTGCAAATGTGATGAGCTCTCCTTCTATCCCCTCACCTGGTTCACTTATGAAGATGTTGAAGAGTACTGGCCCCGATACAGAATCTTGAGGTACCCCACTTCATTCTTTCCTTCATGTAGAGATACGGTAGTTCCAGAACCACACACTGATCCAACTAGTAGTGATACTGTTTATTCCACATTGTTCTATCTTACCAAGAAGCAGGCTGTCATTTACTTTGTAAAATGCCTTTCTGAAATTCAGACATATTATATCCACAGATTTCCTAGATCCACTAATTTAATCACTTTATCAAAGAAGGTAATAAAGATTTGTTTGGCATGATCTGCTTTTAAAAGATTGCTGACAATCACCTTGTTCATTTCTAGATTCTCAGAAATTTTCTGCTTGATTAACTTTTCCAGGATTTTCCTAGGTATTGATGACAAGCTGATTGATATGTAGCTTCATGGGTCCACTTTCCTCCCCTCTTTTTGAAGATTGAAATCACATCAGCTCTTTTTCAGTCCTCTGACAGAACCCTCTTGCTCCAGGATCTCTGAAAATTCAACATGGCTGGCTGAGGAATTCTGGAAGTTGAAGTTCACAAAGTTCTCTATCTTCTGCGGGCTGTCTTAGATTTGCTGAACTCACTCTATGTTAGATACTTCAAAGGCAACACATGGTTGATAAAGACAACCCCTAAAAACAAGAAGACAGGAAAGTGGAGAACCAGCAACCCAAAGTGCACCCCCATCCTCAAAATCAAGTCTTGTTCTTTAGTCTTGTCAAGATTTCTCTCCTTTGAGCAAACTGCTAGCTTGGCTTCCACATTATAGGAAACTCAGGTAGAGGAACCACAATGAGCCAAAGCCATCACCTACTTGGCGGAATATATCTTGATGATCAGCAAAATATCAGTGGGTCGGCTCAGCCTGAAAGACCTGGACTAGTGAATGTGATTAAGTTTTCTGCAAAGAGAAGGAACCATACCTTCAACCTTAATGTCAGACCTTCAACCTCAATGTCAGACTTACCAATGGCCTTAACAAAGGATTACAACCAAGCAGGCAACTTTGAGTCTTCTTCTTGGTCTCTTATTGGGAAGCAATAATCATTCTCTCTGCTCATCCTTATACCAAGAATTCTTCAGAGGGTCTGCATACTAAGACCAACTAGTATCCACTAGTACCTATCATGGGATGATGCTCTAACTCAATTCCATGCTCAAAACCTTGCATGAGTCAACCTCTGCCAGGCAGGTATCCCAGATAAGGGTGCTCTCTGCCAAGATTTTTGCATCTTATGGTAGAAATTATCACAAAACAAACCCTTGCATCTAAATTGAATTTGGCTCCCACCATAGTCAGGAAATGATCCTCTTCATCTATCATAATTCTAAAACCGAGTTAGAATATTTGAAATATTGAATGATACTCCCAATTTCCTAGATTCCTTCCAGCAGACCTGCCATAGAGCTGTAAGGCCTCATTGTTCGTGATCTCCAGGTGAGTCAAGGCTTGTCTCACTAGCCTATGAGGCCCAAAACAAGCCTGCTTCACAATGAAATGTAGCACATTGCATTAGAAAGGTACACCTTCCACATCCCCAGGAGACAGGCAACCAGTAGAAATCTTTTCAGAACACTGTGCTTTCTGGACTTCTGAAAAGGGCTTCTGAAAAGGATGTGTTGAATCAGAAGAATGAAGGCACATATAGCATCTTTTGGCCATGTTGTCGGAGAATTCTAGGCTTTTTTGAATTTTGGAGGATGAGCAAGGTTGCTATGTAGAATGCAGAAATGTATCAATCAAAATTCAGACTTTCTGTCTTGAATAAAAAAAGGTGTAATTGTAGTTGGAGCTGCTAATGCAATCATGAACAATATAAAATTATAAGTTTGGTCACGTGTTGACCAAGCAAGCTTTATTTTTAGAAGTTCAAAAACAAATTCTAGTATTTTTTGAAATACCTTTAGCAGACTCTTCATTGTTTTTCAAAAGTAAAGGATTGTTTTCATTGATTTCATAACAAATTAGGCAGGAGTTCCATGTTTATAAAATACAATTTGATGCGTCTTTAGTCTTAGGTCATATTTAAGTGGTCTTTTTTGGACTCAGTCCAAATTCATGCTATTTCCAGACCACTGGCAACTCAGGTTGTTTATAAGGACAGGTTCTGGAAATATCTGGGAATGTGGAAGGTTTTTCCTCCCCTTATTTTTAACTTTCCCCCTTAAGTGTTTGTTCCATTTTTTTTTAAATCCTCAAGGTGTTCCTCTGTTTTCTGCTGCTGAAGATCAGAGCTCCAAATTCCTCCAATTCTTGGCAATGACTTCCATAGCTAGGCATTAATGTTAATGTGCAGCAAACATTAGCCTTAATAATTGGGAAAAACAAAAGAACCCCAACTGTCTCAGTTTTGGGGAAAAAGTTGATTTATGCTTTGAACTGGTTTGTGCTTGCATGTCAGTAAGTCAGTTTTAATCTTTAATTGCTAGTAAAATACCTTTAATTTACTTTATATATATATATATATACACACACACACACACACTAAATTTCAGTGCTTGAAATGTTAAGTTTCTTGTTGATTTGTGTTAGAATGAGAATTTAGAATGCTGGTATCTTTCCTCCACCCTTAAAGTTTAAAAAAAGGGGGCGGAAGAGAGAGACCCATTCCTTTCTGTAACTCTCATGGAAATTCTAAGCTGAGAATTCCCCTTGATTTGCATAGCTGGGTTAGAGTGCAAGACAAAGGGCTAAACTTTACTTTTAGTTTTCGGTTTCAGAGAGCACGTAGGCTATCATAACTTTAAAGCAAGCAGACTTTACATTGCAAAATAATTCCCAGGTTGCAAAACAGATGTCAGTAAACATACTAGTTTCCCTATTTTTCTTGAGTGTGTGTGGGGGAATACCTAGATAATTGTAACAGCAGTTATTTTCTAATGAAGTTTCCCAAGAGCTTCAGGTTGTACTATATTTGGAAATTTTTGGTGAAGCCTTCTTAGTTTCTACTCAACATTTCAACCTTCCAGGATGCTGTTTAGCAGACCTCAAAGTGGACAGTTTGGGAAAAGTGGATTTTTAAAAACTGCTATGGGGTGAGAGGTTGCTAAACTTACATACATCAAAAGGTTTCAGGCCATCATTCAAGCTCTTGGAAAATACTATTGGTTTTTACACATTACAGTTCTTAATTGAGGAGGGACATCATTAATTGATGACGGACATCATTAATTGATGACGGACATCTTACGTATAACCTGTGTTTGCGTAACAAAAACATCTTTCTGTCTCTTTCTGCCTCATTCCAGTTTAAATTCTTCCTAAGTTTAGCCCTCTATACATGTGATGAAGCAAATTTCAGTTCACAAGAGCGGATGCCTTTCATTAACATTTGTGCTTCCAGACTCCTTCTAAAGAATATCTCTTATTTCTTGGAGATATAGGAGAGATACATAATTTATATTATTTATAAATAATTAATTTACTGGAGAAGGATGTTTCCTTTATTGGAGAAGGAAGGAAAAAAAGGCATGAAGCAGAAACAAAAAGAATAGGCGGATTCCAGTGATATTGTATACTAAGTCCTAACTTTTGACACAGTCCTATATTTGTTCTAGGAATACCTACCATTGAATTCAGTGGAATTTACCTCTGAGTCTGTGTGTAATATATGTATGAGATAGGTTTGTGGGTTTCATATATGGTTTCCTGATCTTGGGTCTATTGACCAGTCATCTGATTGGTAGGCTGCCTGTCAGACGCAAGAAACCAGGAACCAAGGTTTTTCAAATGAGTTCAAATTTATTCCATACTAGCTCTCTACAAGAATCTGAACTACTAACAGTCAAGGCACATTGACAGTAGATAAGAGTCAGTGGAATTTAAGGAGGGCTGGTCTTAGATCTCTTGTGGGCACAATGGGACTACAGACTGATGACATACTTGCCCCCTCCCTCAAGAGTCAGCCTGATCATCTCCTACAAGTTGTAGGCTAGGGAAGGTATAACACCAAGATTAACATTAGAACAACAATCAAGAAGTAAATAATATCCCAATCAAGGAACTGCCAAACAAGCTAACAGTAAACAACCCAAATAAAGAACCTCCAGATCCATTCAACACCAACACTGACAGGGCAAGCCACTAGAATATAAATTGAGAGCAAACCCCACTCCTCACTAGCACTGATGATGTTACCTAGCTTGGGAAAGGAAACAATCAAGACCAGAGAGCACCAAGGACCCCTCATTTCAACCCTGAGCTACAAATATTCTCCTTTTTCAGATGGTGTTCTCTCAGAGCAGTGGAGTATACTTCTGGCAATTGATGCGTGAATTGTTGGTCAGTATGTGAAAGTTGCTCCCAGTTATAACAGTACATCTCAAAGAAAAGAGGGATATGTGCTTGGATGCATAGCCCCGAACCCTTCTGCTGCCCACCAAATGTTGACCTTTCATATGAGCAATTTGATGCCCTTTATGTATTTTGATCTAGAACTTCCAGAATCAGTCACCAGCATTTGCACTAGCCTAGGTGGTTGAGAATTGTTTTTTAACACATTGGGAGGACATGATATTGCTTACTTCTTTGAGAACAGTGGTATGTATTAAGTCTTTCAAATGACAGATTGAATTTCAAAAGAAGCTACATGTCAGTTAATGTGACATGCTGGAGATTTAGAGTTCATTTTCCATTTTTACTGAATGCTTTGTGAAACTGTCAATGACAGTTTAATCAGTCTGTGGCCAGCTTTCTGAAGACCACAATTGAGCATCACTTTTTTGCCCATGTTTTTCTGGAGGTGGTGATTTAAAACATACTGAAATTTTAATCATAGACTCATAGGGCTGGAAGGGACCTTGGAGGTCCAACTCCCTACTCAAGGCAGGAATCCTTATACCATCCTGGACAAACGGTTGTCCAATCTTTTCTTTAAAATCTCCAGTGCTGGAACAACCACAATTTTGGGATGTAAGCTGTTCCATTCATTAATTGCTCACTGTCAAAAAGTTCCTCATTTCCAGGTCAAATCTCCCTCTAATGAGCTTCTACCTATTGCTTCTTATCCTGCCCTCAGGTGCTATGGAGAATAAATCGATCCCCACTTCTCAGTTACAAGCCTTTAATTATTAGAAGACTATGATTGGGTCTCCCTGAGCCTTCTCAGCCTTCATTAGGCTAAATATAATCTATTTTCCTTAGACAGTCATTGTATGATATGGTTTCCCATATCTCCATGATGATCTACCTTATTAATGTATTTTCTGAAATAAAAATCCTATATTTCTTTGAAGGAGTTTCTCCTTTAATACTGGCTAAAGCTTTCTTGCTCTACAATTTGCTTGAGTTACTGCAAACAAAGCGACACATAGTATTTCATGTAATCATATAGTATACTTGCATAAAAGCATTACAGTATTAATAATTGTGTTTTTCTATCCCTTTTCTAATGATCTCTAACATATAATTTCCTTTTTATTTTTATCTTTTTACAGCTGCTGAATACTGGCTGGGCAGTTTCTTGGAGCTATCCAAGAAAACAACAATCCATTTCTCTTCAGTAAGTTTCAGCTTGGACACCTTCAGCTGATACATGAAATATGGGGAGTGGGGTTTGGTCCCAATATGCTATTGTCAGTGTTTAAAAATTAACTACCGTGTTTCTCATATAATAAGGCCGGGTCTTTTTTTTTTTTTGAGCCCTGAAAAAATGGCTAGGCCGTCTTTTCGGGGGTGACTTAATTTCCTCCCCCCCCCTTGCATCTTAGGGCGGACGGGGACGGCTTGGATGTTGACCTCGGCGTTGGTGGGGCACTTTGTATCAGGGTCAACGCAGGCAGCACCATATCCGGGTGTGCAACAAAAGTACTTCCTAACAGCAAGCCCCCCCCGCCATTTACCCCCCATTTCGCATGTTTTAATATAGGCCTTAATTTGGGGGGAGGGGCTTAATTTCATTTCATGCCTATAAAACATGCTGGGACTTCCTATTGGGGGAGGCCGTATTGTTGGAGAAACAGGGTAGTTACTATAAAGGGATGGGAGAATATGCTAATTGATACTTTTCTATAATTGAATTATTGCTTCATTAGATTACTTGCTCATATCTATTTCTTGCAGTAGCCTCCAACCAAATCCTAATCCCTTCAACCAAAAATATCAGTGATTTGAACTTGGAAATGTTTGTACTGTATACATTCAATAAATTATGGTTCTTCTTTATGGTTATGGATATCATTGTGTTGGCTGCTGTTTAGAGATGAAAAGAGATGCATGTATGTTTGGAACAGTTTCTTAGGATGAATCCACACGTTAATGCAAATCTCTTGAAATTAATATTCCTATGTTAGCCTTAATATCTTTAGCTTTTTTCCATCCCATTGATTTCAGTGCATGAACTTAAAGGTGGGTCACATTGAACTATAGTGTGATTTGTTTGATGTCAGTTTAGTATGAATTCAAACATTGTGGTTTGTTATTATAAACTAGTTGCATGTGAACCATGCTAGTTACAATTTGTTCAGTAAAGGGTAACTAATGAAATCATGGTTTAGTGCCTTGATTGACGGCATAGCTTGGAGAGCACATGTGGTGCATCACATTACAACCCCTTATATTGATTTTATTGTCCCCCAATAACAAGTCCCATTCTGCTCCCATGTTGCTTAGTTTCATGTCGCCTCTTTTGAATCTGTGGATATCAGTTTTCTCCGTAGAACTGCTGCGAGCATCCAGAGAGTGGGAGGTGCTCTAGTCTTCACTCTTACAGGCTGAGCTATAATTGAGGAACGCTCCTCCTCCTCCACGTGACTCCTCCACGCGTTCCCCAGTTTTAGCTCAACCTCGCAGAGACAGGCAGCTCTTTTCTATCGCTCCTTGGCCGATTCAGGTTTCTTCTGCTTTCTGGTTTCAGGTTTGCCTTCTTTCGTTCTCCTTGTCCCTGCGATCTTAGTGTGCCCTCAAATTTATTGAAAGAGCGAGATTTCTCGCCCTCAGGGGGGAGATAGGGGGATTTGGAGCCCTTTGTCCCCCCCACCCCCCTCCTACTCCCTCTGCCTATATTCCAAGCTGCGCTGCTGCAAACCAGCCGCTTGGCTCTGCGCTATTTTTAGCGCTGTTTTCTCTCGTTGCGTCTTCCCCCCATGAACGCTTTACAGAGGAAGGACTGCTTCCTCTCTCAGCCCTTGCTCCTTTCATTGATTTTTGTTCCCCGTTTTAAGGCCTGGTGCGTCTCTGAGTCAATAGCGCCGAGACGGGCGGCCATTTTGGGCGCGCCTTGTGGCCAGCGCCATTTTTAATTTTGCCTTTCTTTGTTGTTTTGGGCTGCGATTGTTGCAGGGGCCCTTAGTGGGACCGGCAGGCCGCGTGGAGCCAGAATTGGGAAGGCACTGTGGCTCCGTGCCCCGTTGTCTCTCCCCTTCTTTTTGTTGGTTGGTGTTAGCTACCGCAGCTCGCTCAGAGGCACAGGCACCTACTTCCCATTTTTGCTGGGAGGCTGCCTCAGGAGGCCTATCTCTCCGTGTGTGAATTTTTTTCTGTATATTAATTTCTGGCCTCAGCGTTCATTTGGTTCCTTTGGATTCTAGATAATAGATATAGGTTTTTTAGTAATATTTTCTTGATTCTTATTGGTGTTTTTTGGGCTCCGCCCACCCATAAAAAATATATATATATATATTAAAAAATAAAAAATAATAAAAATAATAAAAAACAATAAATAATAAAAACAATACTTGTACATAAGTGTATAATAGTTGAATAAGTTTTAGGACATAGATATCTGGTAAAAAAGAAAAAAGAAAAGGAAGAAGGAAAAGGTCAAACAAACACACAAAAATTTTTTATCCAAAAGGGGGACGTGGCCCAACTTTAGGAAAACCGGTTTGCGTAAGTAGACCGAACTCCTAGGTGTGCCAACCGCCTTTTTTTGGTTATCTATCACTTGGCATCATGGCAGAGGGTAATATCAGTGGTCCTTCTTTGAAGGCTAAGTCTATTTACGCAAAAGGGACTATTTACGCAAAAGGGACAAGGACTCCTCCAGGGCTTCCCAAAGGGATGCCTTAAGGCGCCATAAGGCCCTGGAGAAGGAGTTCGGCAAACGGTCCAAAGACTCTCACCCTGTTACTCTTGCCTCACCCTCTACCTCTGTCCAACCCCCTCCTCTGTCAGGGCAATCTTCTCCCTCCAGGTGCGGTTCCACTGCCCGAAGTCGCCAGGACTCTCGTACGCCCGAAGCGACCTTCACACCAACTGCAGCAGGCCTGCGCCCTGAAGACCCGGTCACAACCATTATTCCGGACAGTATTAAAGAGTGGATGCAACTTGCCATCCGTCAGGGAATAGCTGAAGGCATACAACAGCTGTCCAGATCAGGTTCTCGAGGTATGGCGCCCGAGGCCAAATCTATATCCGGAAGATCTCCTTCCACGCCGACGTCACAACATGGTCAGGTACCTGCCCCAATGGAGGCGCCACTCCCGGAAGGGGAGGAGGCCCAAGAGGAGGTCGAACTGGGCTTTGAGTCCGTCAGGGAGGAGGAAGGTTCCGACAGGGGGTCTCTACAGTATTCGGAACCCTTCTTCAAGGTAGACACCATGGAGGGGGAGATGTCAGAAGACGAGGGCATTTCCCCCGAACAACCGGCCTTTGTGGGCCTTTTAAAACCTCATTTGTTTAAATCTTTATTATTTAAGGCTAGAAATGTTTCGGGTCTGACCTCCCAGTCACCCTCTGAACCATCTCCAGCGACCCCGGGAGGTCCAGAGGATTCAATATTCAGACAACCGGTTGTAGAAACCGAGATTATTCCGACCCCCCCAATCTTTTCCGACCTGGTCGCAAGGCAACTGGCTTCTGCGGGCCCTTCTCCCGCCCCCTCTAGCCAAGACAAGAGATTGTTTAATCTCGACCCGGAATTCTCTGCCATGCTAGACACCCCGGAGGTAGACGACCCGATAGTGAGACTGGCCTCTTCTTCCAATCCCACTGACGCTCTGGAGGCGCTGAAGCCAGAGGATAAGCGGGCAGAGATGGCGCTCAGGCGAGCACACCAAGCGGATGCTTGGGTCATCCGGTTGGCCACAGCCGCTTCATTTTTCACTCATTCTTCCATCAGGTGGCTCAGACAGTTGAAAGAACACGTCTCCGCGTCAAACACTAAGGCCCAGCAGGATATTGCAAAACTCACGGCTGTGGCGGAATTTGCGGCCGATGCCACTTTTCATTCTGTAAAATTTTCATCCCGGGCCATCTCCTCGCACGTAACTGCCCGAAGATTACTTTGGCTCCGGCACTGGCAGGCCGACATTAAAAATAAGTCCAAATTAGCCTCAGCTCCCATCTCGGGGGGAAAACTGTTTGGGCCGGCCTTAGATCCATTACTGATGGAGAGCCGGAATAAGAAGAAGTTTCTCCCGTCGCTTTTTCGTAGACAGGAAGCCAGAGGGTCCCAATCCTTTCGGAGGGGCTCCTTTCGCCCCTCCTTCCAGCCATCCTTCACCCCTAGATACCAGGGTCCTCCGTCATTCTGGTCAGCCTACCAGGACCGGGGCGACTCGGGAGACAGAACCAGAAGGGGAGGTAGTTACAGGAGGCCCTTCAGGGGTTCGGGGAACAGGGCGTCCCGCCGACCCAGGTAGAATTTCAGCCCCTCATCCCATTGGCGGTCACCTCAGACATTTTGCCGACCAGTGGGAAACATCCACTTCGGATGCATGGGTCAGGGACACGATAAGCTTCGGTCTCTCTCTCCAGTTTCAGGCTGCTCCTCCGGAGCACTTCATGGTTTCTCCCCTCTCCAGAGACCCGACCAAACGGGCCCTCATGATATCCGCTATCAAACACCTCTCTGATATTAGGGCAATCCAGCCTGTGCCACCATCGCAGCGGGGAGAGGGGTTCTACTCCCTCCTCTTCTTAGTCCCTAAGCATTCCGGGGGTTGGAGGCCCATTTTAGATTTAAAGAGGCTCAATCGCTATATTGTCCGTCATAGGTTCAAAATGCATACCCTTCCGTCGATTTTACAGGGTATCAGAAAAGGGGACTGGCTTACATCTATTGACCTTTCCGAGGCATATCTACATATTCCCATTCGCCCCTTGTATTCCAAATACTTGAGGTTCTGCTACAACAATCAGCATTTCCAATATGTGGCCCTTCCCTTTGGCCTCGTTTCAGCCCCGAGGACTTTTACTAAGGTATTAGCAGCCCTGGCGGCCCACCTCAGACACTTTCCTATCCGCATTCACTGGTACCTTGACGACATTCTTATTGTATCCCCCAACCGAATTCAAGCCAAGAGTGACACTAGCACCACTCTCTCTGTACTTCAGGCTCACGGTTTCCTCGTGAACTGGGAGAAGAGTCAACTCAACCCTTTCACCCGTATAGCTCACTTAGGAGCCGTAATTGATTCAGTTGAGGAGAAGGTTTTCCTTTCTCGCGAGAGGTTCAGCAGCATCCAGACATCTATCAGGGCTATTAGATGGTCTGGAAAGACCTCTGTGCTTGCTTTATCCAAGCTGCTTGGAAAGTTAATTTCATGCATATCAATTATCCCATGGGCTCGCTTACATTCCAGATCTTTGCAGTGGTTCCTCCTGCCGTATCAACGTTCCGGAAGGAGCAACTCCGGCCTCGTGGTGAAAGTTCCTCCAAGGGTCCTCGCCTCCCTCCTATGGTGGACAAGGCCCTCTATCAACAGGGGTCATCTCTTCAAGGAGCCCCAAAGGGTTACTCTCACGACAGATGCCAGCCTCTCCGGATGGGGGGCCCACCTGCAGTCTCTTTCAACTCAAGGAACTTGGTCAGCAGCCGAGAGGCGCTGCAGCATCAACTGGCTGGAGCTTCACGCAGTATACCTGGCCTTGCGCGCCTTTCTCCCTCAGGTGCGAGGGCGCCACGTGTTAGTCTTGACAGACAACACTACAATCAAGGCCCACATCAACCGGCAAGGGGGCACTCATTCCATCCGCCTCATGAGGGAGGCCGAACGGCTCTGTCGGTGGGCAGAGGTAAATCTCTTATCCATCAGGGCGGAACACATCTTGGGGGTCTCAAATGTCCAAGCAGACTGGCTGAGCAGGGCCACTCTGGACCAATTGGAATGGCGCCTGCACCCCTCACTGTTCAGGGAGGCAGCAGCGATATTCGGTCAGCCTCTGGTAGACCTGTTTGCATCCCCGCTCAACGCCCAGACACCGAGGTTCTTCTCTCGATACCCCGACAATGGAGCAGAGAACCACGATGCCCTGCGCTGCCCCTGGCCCATGGGGCTTCTATACGCCTTCCCTCCCCTCCCGCTGATTCCCAAGGTGATTCAGAAGTTGATACTCGAGAGGGCGGAGGTTCTCCTGGTGGCACCGTATTGGCCCAGGAGACCGTGGTTCGCAGATCTTCGCAATCTGTCCGTGGCCCCACCATGGAGGATTCCACTAGACAGGATCTCACTGTCCCAGGGTCCTCTTCATCATCCAGACCCTCAGTGGCTCCAGTTAGCCATCTGGAGGTTGAGCGGGAAAGACTGAGAGAGGAGGGCCTGTCGGCTCAGGTCATCAATACCATCCTGGCAGCAAGGCGGCCTTTGACCACCCGCATTTATAATGCAACCTGGAATAGTTTTTCTAATTGGTGTCTTAAATCCTCCTTCAATCTGCTCTCCCCCTCAATTGCACAAATTCTGGGTTTCCTACAAGACGGCCTAGACAGGGGCCTCTCCCCCAACACTCTGAGAAGACAGGTCGCAGCTCTATCAACGGTAGTTGCTGGCGGCCCTTTGGGTCCACTTTCTCACCACCCTCGAATCAGGGCTTTTCTTAAAGGGGCTTCCAATCTGCGCCCCCCAGTGATTCACAGATACCCGACCTGGGACCTCAACAAGGTCCTTACGGCGCTAACTAAACCTCCCTTTGAGCCTCTCAGGGAGGCGCCACTTCAGTTTCTCACCTTCAAAGTGGTGTTTCTCGTGACAATAACTTCGGCGAGAAGGATATCTGAAATAGCAGCTCTATCCGTGAGAAAGGACCTGTGTATTTTCCACCCTGATCGGGTGGTTCTGCGACCAGACCCTGCCTTTTTACCTAAAATCAACTCGGCATTTCACAGAGCATAAGAATTGGTCCTACCTAATTTCTGTCCAAAGCCTTTTCGAGAAAGGAAAAGGCAGTGGCACACCCTCGATGTTCGAAGGGCTCTTCGTATATACATCTATCGAACACAGTCTATCAGGAAGTCAGAATCTCTGTTCCTGTCTTTTCAGCCAAAGACGCTGGGCTGCAAGGTATCCCCGTCTACTGTTGGCCGCTGGATTAGAGCTACCATATCCAAGGCCTATCTCACCCAAGCCCTTCCGGTCCCTAGTGGAATAACTGCTCACTCTACCAGGAACACTCTACCTGGGCTACCCAGGCTTCAATTCATGACATTTGTCGAGCGGCCACCTGGGCGTCTCCGTCTCCCTTTATTCGCCACTATAAAATCGATGCTTACGCCTTGGCTGAGGCATCTTTTGGCAGGCGAGTCTTTCAGCAAGTGGTGAGAGAGCCAGAGGAGATTCCGGACCAGACAGAGTCCCTCCCGTAGGACAGCCACACTTTGGTATGTCCCACTCTCTGGATGCTTGCAGCAGTTCTACGGAGAATGGGCGTTGGTGCCTACCTGACACGCCTCTTCTCGTTGAACTGCGTAGAGCATCCAGCCCCACCCTAATTAGTCCGTCTGGGGGCGGAATCCTGTTTCGGCCAATGATGTTCTTTGTTTATAGTTGAGTTCTGTATAATAGTTGAGTTTAGAGGATTGTTCCTGTCCTCTCGTCTTCGTAAAACTGGGGAACGCGTGGAGGAGTCACGTGGAGGAGGAGGAGCGTTCCTCAATTATAGCTCAGCCTGTAAGAGTGAAGACTAGAGCACCTCCCACTCTCTGGATGCTCTATGCAGTTCAACGAGAAGAGGCGTGTCAGGTAGGCACCAACGCCCATTCTGTGTAGTTTGTGTACAGATAGTCCCTGACTTACGACAATTAGGATTATAGTTTCCATTGCTAAGCAAACTGATTGTTGAATGAATTGCGCCCAATTTTATGACAATTTTTCCCATGATTGTTAAGTGAATCACTGCATTTGTTAGTGAATCATGTGGTAATTAAGTGAACCCAGCTTTACCCATTGAATTTGCTGGTTGGAAACTGGCTGGGAAGGTCAGAAATGGTAATCGCATGGCCTCCGAATGCTGCAGCTATTGTATATGCGTGCCGGTTGCCAAGCACCTGATTTTTGATCACATGATTGTGAGGATGCTGCAACTTTGGAAGTGTGAGGATCAGTTGTAAGTCACTGTTTTCATTTCCATTGTAACTTTGAGTAGTCACTAATTGAATGGATGTAAATCAAGGACTATCTGTATAAGTGTATGAGAAAAAATATGAGACATGAAGTTTTTATTTGAGGGAACCACTTTTAATGCTTCTTGTCTTTGTAGCATGGCATCAAATACACTGTTTAAAAACTGGTATGGCTACTAAACTTATGCACTTCTACTTTAGCATAATATGAGGTGTGAATCTGGCCTACATTTAACCAATTTTAGATCCCATTGTCTGATCTGTTACCATATTGTCCCAAGAAGTATTGATTTCTCAAGCAGAGATAATGATAAATAAGGTTATAATTCTGCATTCCTCACAAATCCTTTCCGCATGAGCAATTTACCTGGATTTGAAACCTTTACTTTTCTTATTGTAGCAGATTGCTACTTGTCAGTAATTTCATTTTTTCCCTTTTATTTTTCTTTCCTCCCTGCCCAAAAGGTATGCAATTGTTTTTGTGACTCTCACAAATCAGGACCAATTTAAGAAGCAAGCCACAATGCAGCGGCGCACCCATTCCCAGCACTTTTGGCACTGAGAGCAATTTGAGGGTATCTCACCAGAAGGTCAACGTGATGACGGTCTGGTCTATGGTGGAAAGGCTGAAAATGGAGAAGAGGCACGCCCAAGACAAGAGGATTGTTGAGCAAGACAGCAGGGATTGCAGCACCGAATCTGAAGAATGGACAAGCTCTGAGAGTGACAACGAGCAGCCTTGCATCAGGACCAGCTCCGGCAACACCCTGCCTAGGGCGAAGGATGTTCCCCCTCACAAGCCTCACCGACAGCTTTGCCGCTCTCCTTGCTTGGATCAACCCAGCTTCTCCCAGAGCAGCCTTCTTCAGGATTTAAAACTGGAAGATGGTAAAGCGAACTCGGACAAAGAATATCAAGCAAAAATTGATTTCGCTTTAAAACTGGGCTACGCAGGGGATCAGATTCAAGCCGTGTTGAACAAGTTGGGGGCGGACGCTCTCATCAATGATATTTTGGCTGAACTTGTGAGACTTGGCAACAAGGCTGAGAACGAAGGGCCAGCTAGCCTTGGAAGTAGTACTGCTCCCACGAGTGGAACGGCTGCCAAGGAGGTGACCAGCCCCGAGTTGTCCCTGGAGGAGGATGTTGTGGACAGCTCTGACAACTTGAGGCCGATTGTAATTGATGGAAGTAATGTGGCAATGAGGTAGTTCATACTTTGTCCTCTTTTTATTGCATAAAAACCCTTGAAGGAAATCAGCATCCAGATAAATGTTTATTTCAAATGTGGATAAGAGTATACCATAGTGGATTCAATTGGCAACTTTTGCAGAATTCCTTGCATTGTATACCCAGGTACATTAGATCCAGGTAGTCCTGGATCACATTTGAACCCCAAATTTCTGTTGCTAAGTGAGACAGTTGTTAAGTAAGTTTTGCCCCATTTATAACCTTTCTTTCCACGGTTGTTCAGCAAATCACTGCAGCTGTTAAGTTAGTAACATGGTTGTTAAGTGAATCTGGCTTCCTCATTGACTTCGCTTGTCAGAAGGTCACAAAAGGGGATCACATGATCCCAGGACACTGCAACTGTCATAAATACGAGTCAGTTGCCAAGCATCCAAATGTTAATCACATGCCCACAGGGATATTGCCATGATTTTATGAAAAATGGTGAAGAGCCGCAGTGGCATAGTGGTTAGAATGCAGTACTGCAGGCTACTTCTGATCACCAGCTGCCAGCAGTTTGGCAGTTTGGATCTCAAGGTTGACTCAGCTTTCCGTCCTTCCAAGGTCAGTAAAATGAGGACCCAGATTGTTGGGGGCAACAAGCAGACTCTGTATAAACTGGTTAGAGGGGGCTGTAAAGCACTGTGAAGTGGTATATAAGTCTAAGTGCTATTGCTATGTCATTCTTTCAGTGCCATTGTAACTGAATAATTACTAAATGAACTGTTGTAAATCAAGGACTACTTGTACCTTACAAAGACTACTTACGAGGTTTGACTGTCCATCCACTGAGAACATCCTAAAAATGCCCACAAAGTGTCCCTCTTCCCTGGGGATTAGGAAGATGTGGACCACACGGGAGTCCTTTTCTATTTTATCCCTGTACTTTCTATTCCTGGAGATCTATGCGGCCCCCTCCTACGGCCCTGTCCCATGGAACTGTTATCCCTAGTTCAGCAGCCCCCAACCTTTTATGCACCTGGGACAGGTTCTGTGGAGAGAGGCTTTTCCGTGGACCAGAGTAGGCATGGTTTCACACAATGCCTGCCTCCCACACATGCACAGATGGAGCTTCACTCGTTTGTGCAGCTCGGTTTCTGATGCGCCACAGACCAGTGGTAGTCCATGGCCCAGGAGTTGGGGACCCCTGCCCTAGTTGATTGTTGGAGGTATCCATTTTGGGAGAGACATTTGGAACTAGTGCACCTTGAACTGTTTCTTGCACAGTAGTAATCTGTCCAGAGTCTTCTGATTCAGGCATGCTATAAAAATAAATTTATTCCGTTTGGATGCCGCTCGACTCCAGCTGACTCTGGGTGACTCACAGCAATAAAATAGCAAAAACAACAGATACAGACAATGAATCAAAACAGATTTTTTAAAAACCCTGCAAAATAAACACAAGGTGCCAACTCATCAACACAGAAGACACAAAATCTCACAAACAGGGTGTTGGTGCCAGTGTCCCATCGAAGGCTTGGGTAAGTAGCCAAGTCTAGACAGCCCAATATGTCATCAGGGAGGGAACTATATGTATCTCTGTGACATCTCATCATTATAGAATAGGGATCTCCAACCTTGGCAACTTTTAAGACTTATGTACTTCCAACTCTCACAATTCCCCAACCAGCAAGAAAACAGAAATTTGCAGGATCCAATCTTGAGTTGAACCCCCCCCCACCAAACATTTATTCTTCCAAGCTTTCAGGCTCGTCTAAAGCCTATCCTCAGGGAAATTCTCTCTCTCCAGAATGTGTGTCATTCTCTCTCCAGAATGGGCATATATTCTAGGGACAGAGAAGTTCCCTGAGGATGGGCTCTAGCACAAGCCTGAAAGTTTGGAAGAATAAACCTTTGGTCCCGGTGACCGATTCAGACTGGATCCTGCAACATTATCCTGGGAAATATATATTTGCCTTCGTTTGCAAGAGTGAAGTTTGTCTGTTTTTTTCTAGATCTTTTTAACATTGTCTCCTAAACTTTATCAAACACCTTTCCTTTTTTATGTATTGTATTTTTATCTCAGCCATCTTCATCAAGATATATTAGAATTCTCTGAATTATTTTTGTTCATTTTCAGTCATGGAAATAAAGAAGGATTTTCCTGTCGAGGGATTCAGCTAGCTGTTGATTGGTTTCTGGAAAAAGGTCACAGAGATATAACAGTATTTGTGCCAACCTGGAGAAAAGAACAGAGTCGACCAGACGCGCCAATTACAGGTAACCATTTCGGGAAATGGTTAGATTTTTCTCAGTAGGATGACTCAGTTATTCTATCTCAGGGGTGTCAAACTCAAGGTTTGAGGTTTAATCCGGCCCACGTGGCCATCCTGAAAACTGTAAAAGTCCAGCCTGTGTCACTTTGGCCTGGCCCACACCATCCTGGCGTGCATGTGTGCATGCGCACAGGCCCAGTTCTCCATCCCCGTGTGCAGAGCAACTAAAGTAGTCTGTGGGAATACGGTAAAAAAAATAACCCAGACCTTCCAATCTCACAAGATCTTTTTTTGTGTGTGTGTGAGAAGCTGGAAGGTCTGAACTATTCTTTTTACCGTAGTCCCACAGACTACTTTAGTTGCTCTGCACGTGGTGATGGCGAAAGGAGCTGGAAAGGTTAGGAAAGGGATGTGGCTGCCCTGGTTGGTGGGGGGTGAGGGTGAGGGTTTGGCTGGCCGGCCTGCCTGAAGGGCCCTAAGGTAAGCCGGGTGGGGCAGGGCAAATGGGGCAGCTCTGCACCCCCTGCCTTACTTCGTCCTCCACCCACCCATCTCGCTTAGTTCTTCGCCTCGTCTCCTTGCTCGCTGCCGTAATGTAGCAGGAGGCTGAGCAACACACCAGTGCGACGGCCACGAAACATGGCGGTAGGGGGTGGAATCTGAAGCAAGGCAGCTTACCTGAGCTTACCTGAGCACCCTGCCAGCCAGGCACTGAACATCACAGTGAGACAGAGAGAGGGGGGGGCTTTCTCCAAACACGTGTGTGTATGAGAAAGAGACGTGCAATCCCTGCTTCAGTCGGGGCATTTAAGCTGCTGGCGTCGTCGTGGCGGGGTGGGGGGCGGCAGGAGCCACCTGAGCAACTGTATTTTTCCTCGTCCTCCCCACTGAAGCAGCCGTGGGCTCTGTGGGACAGCAGGGCCTCTCATTTCTCCCCTGGCATAGTGGACTCCAGCTTTAGTCGGGGCATTGAAGCTGCTGGAGATGACAGCTTCCTAATGATTTGCCCCCTCCCCAACCAGCCAGCCAGCCGCTGCCCCAGCGCAGCGAACTCCGGTGGGGTGGACGCAGGTGTGAAGGGCCTGGCCTCACAGTGCTTCCTTGCTCAGTTGGAGACTCCCTTCAGCCTTCAAACAGTAAGGCTGGCTCACATACCAGGGCCACGGATGGCGTTACTGTTTGAGGGCTGAATGAAGCCTTCAACTGAGGAAGGATGCACTGTGGGGCCAGGCCCTTCACACCTGCATCCAGCTCTCCGGAGTTTGCTGCACCAGGGCAGGAAGGAGACCGTGTCCCGCGGAGCCTGCTGCCGCTTGGGTGGCAAGGACAAGGACAAGGAGGAGGAGAATGGTGAGGCTTTATGCCAGCTGGCCAGGCACAGAGCAGGTCAGGCGGTGCTGGCTGGTTGATTGGGGAGGGGGCCATCATTAGGGGGCTGCCGCTGCCAGCAGCTTAAATGCCCTAACGGAAGCTGGAATTTGCCACGCCAGGGGAGAAATGAGAGGCCCTGCTGTCCCGCAGAGCCCGCCGCTGCTTCAGTGGGGAGGATGAGGAGAAAAACGGCTGCTCGGGTGGCCCCTGCCCCCCCCCCAGCCACCACCAACAGCTTAAATGCCACGACTGAAGCAGGGATTTCACGCTCTCTCTCATACACACACACAGAGTTTAGAGAGCCCCCCTCCCCCCCCCCCCCCCCCGCGCGCGCTTCCGGCCCTCCGGTGCCTGGCTGGTGGGGTGCCCAGGTAAGCTTGGGGGGGGGCAGCTCTGCCCCCCCCCCGCCTTGCTTCGTATTCCACCCCCCACTGCCCCACTGCTCAGGTGGCTCCTATTGCCCATGCTGCTGCCAGAAGCTTGAGTGCCCTGACTGAAGATCACTCTCTCTCCTATACACACACACACACACACACACACACACACACACACACACACACACA